ATTGACTGGCACAGGTCTGTTTCAGGTGTTTATAGCTACAGCTTTCGGGAGCAAATTATATGAATTTCCCGTAGTATGTCTGTAACTCGAATTTTCACTTAGTAATTGATTCGTGGCCTTAATTTTCATTGTTTCCTTTCACCGAACGCAATTTTAGTAATTTGTTTGTTACTTGCATTCAGCCTTCTTGTCAAAAGAACACCTTTGAGTTGCGGATACCGTCCAGACTGTAAGTTCTTTGCCCCTCCGTTTTGTCACAAGAAAATCATATTTTACAGACTTGTTATTCTTCCTTCCCACTTCGTTAACTAATTTCACATTGCAAACTCTTGTTGTTAGTAAATGCTCTTATTTGTCGTGAGAGGTATGTTTCTTACGGATGGTTAAACATTTTTAAAAGCACTGGACATCTGGATTTTTAGCCTTTTAATCATATTAAGGCATTTCATCAACACTGTTCAAGAAGTCACTAAACAGCTCAAAAATTCTAAAAATTACCCGAGAAACTAAGTTTATTCCCATTTCTATCATAAACCAGGCTTGTCTTCTCTAGTGCTGCGACTCATTAGCCCAACTGAAAGTCATTATTGACAAGCAACTCTATTTAATGCAATTTTGCGATCGCCATCTCGTAGTGACATAATCGGGCTTTACAAGTTATTTTTTTCGTCATGCTTTCTGCAAAATATGTTCGGCTTTATAGGGTCAACGAAAATCAACGAGAGAAATACACGCCACTAAAGTGGTAATTTCTTTGTCACCTTATTCGTGTCTTTGCTTACAGGTTTTCTAGAGGCAAGCTTTGAACATCTGTCGACATGTTCGGTCATGGTAGCCGTAGCCCTCGTCGCGGCAACTTGCAATCTTGATTCAGAGCTGTGCGAGGCTATACACAACCTTACTCATAGAGAACACCCTCCTTCGGGTGGAGCTCCTTCACTCGTCGATTCTGTTCTGAAATCGTTTTAAGACACACAGGCATAATATTAAGTGAGCCTAATGACCAATAAAAGAGCTACCTACACTACAATTCCAGAATGAAGCTAACTGCAGCTGTCTGAGTAGCTAAAACAACTCAATGAAGCAGTATGTTAAAATCCTTTTAAAGTGATTGGTATAGTCTGGTAAACAAAGCTCAATTGGCTCTTAACACGACTGTGTGGATGCATGTGTTGCCTTTCAATCTTTTTTATATCCACTCTGGTGTCATCGCTGCCCCATTTCCACCATGGAACTTCTGGGACATCATTCTCACCTACTTACCTCTAAGATTAGAATGTTCTACCACAAGTTGCCTAGCCCCTTTTCGCCATGATAATCGTCATAAACCGCGGCGACGTTTTTCTAACAAACGACTTGGATACTCCTCCGCAATACTATCCTTGTTGGCTTTATCTAGCCTACTTGCCTAACGCCCCACTATTTGCAACTTTTCTTTAGTTGCTGGTTTTGAAATCCCTGATGAATTCGTCGTCGGCTACGCCTTGGATTATAACGATTACTTTCGAGACCTGCACGTATGTTTTGCTTCTTTCCTCTTGACTTGTGCGCCGCGGTCAAAATTCTCAGTTACTTAGCATTACCACCACATCACCAGGTTCATTTTTATTGATATGAATGTTAATGCTGCAATTAATTAGTACCAGTGGTGTCGGTGAAATGCAAGGGTTGTTAAATCACGGTCTCCTTGAACTCTACCGTAGATTACTAGTCCAGTACTCAATGCACACATGCATCTGCTTGTGTATTAGCCTAAGCCATTGCTTCTGAAAGACGGTAAAATGGAGTTCAAAAACGCTCTTTCAAGCAGCCATATACACCTTCGATCAGTCTAGATCGATGGCTCTCTTAGTCTTCTTCGGCTGTTAAACGTTTTGCACGTACTCCCAACACCTCTACTGCCAGCCTTTGTTTGGCTCAAACGGGTCTTAAATAGGTGGCGAATTAATAGTGCCAGGTTCTAACCTGCTTTAGGCGTAGAGTAGCTGGGCTCTATATGATGCGTAACCTCCGGTTACTCTCCCAGTCCTCGTTGACCGTCTATCTGCCTCTTTCTACTGCAGCATATTTGCGTCATCAACGATGCCGGCCTGAAGTATTTTGCTGTACCCGATGGCGATTCGGCCGTGCCTACCGACCATCCGATGCCTGCACCCGTAGGTGCTGTCGTAGATGGGGCAGGGGCCAACGGCTGCTAGGTGTGTGGCCCTCTCCCTCTCCCAGCATTCTGGACAAGCTCCCCCGGTCAATGTGCAATCATGTAAAATACTCATGTGTCCACAACACCAACCACGACTGAAGGAGTGCGTGTAGGTGCGTCTAACAGTAGGAAGTGTGCATTCCAGCGGACAGTGCTCACCTAATCCCCCTCCCCCCTACGCCTAACTTCCCCATGTTTTTTACCTTGGATTGGCATTCCTCCCATTGCAAATCTGTAATCGGAGGCAATGGTTTTTACTAGAAAGGAAGCCAAATGTTACATTTCTGTAAACTTGCTTTTGTACTGCCGCTCTAGTACTGTGTAAGATTGATTTGGATTTCCATCAGAGAGGTTTATCACAGCATCTGCTTTGTTAATTTTTATCCTAGGCGGTTTTGTCTCTCACAGTTTTAAGTGCACTACTAAAGGGTTGGTACAAAGGGCACATCTTCAGAGCTCTAAACGGTCGGAGGGAAACTGAGAGGTCGGGTTTAGGCGTCGTCGCTGGCTTCTTCGCGCATGGTCTTCGTTCTAGGCTACGGGCTCGGGATTTGAATTTCAGACGGGTAGTAGATATCTACTAGTGAGGAGATGAGCTGTTTACCTGAAAAAGAAACTAGCGTTGGGTAGATTAACTCGAGTTAATAATTATGTTGGTAAACTGGATGAAAGTAGCGCACTGTATTACCCCGGATTGAGGAGTATTAGTTTCATCCCGACACAC